CTAGAATTTTATTTAAGAGATACTTACAAGAATGTAGACTCCATTCCCCAAACATACCTTCTGCCCCTAGATTAATCTTTTAAAATCAGTTCTGCTGATCCAAGTTTTTTAAATGTATAGAACACAGTGCTATGTACTTCCCTCTTAGGACTGCCTTTGCTGCATCCCAAAGATTCTGAACAGTTGTGTTTTCATTTTCCCTTGTTTCCATGAATTTTTTTAATTCTTCTTTAATTTCCTGGTTGACCCATTCATTCTTTAGTAGGATGCTCTTTAGCCTCCATGTATTTGAGTTCTTTCCAACTTTCCTCTTGTGGTTGAGTTTCAGTTTCAAAGCATTGTTTTGTCTGAAAATATGCAGGGAATGATCCCAGTCTTTTGGTACCAGTGGAACCCCGATTTGTGACCTAGGATGTGATCTATTCTGGAGAATGTTCCATGGGCACTAGAGTAGAATGTGTATTCTGTTGCTTTGGGATGGAATGTTCTGAATATATCTGTGAAGTCCATCTGGTCCAGTGTGTCATTCAAAGTCCTTATTTCCTTGTTGATCTGCTTAGATGATCTGTCCATTTCAGTGAGGGGAGTGTTAAAGTCCCCTACTATTACTGTATTGTTATTGATGTGTTTCTTTGCTTTTGTTATTAATTGGCTTATATAATTGGCTGCTTCCATGTTAGGGGCATAAATATTTAAAATTGTTAGATCTTCTTGTTGGATAGACCTTTAAGTATGTTATAGTGTCCTTCCTCATCTCTTATTACAGTCTTTGGTTTAAAATCTAATTTGTCTAAGGATTGCCACCCCAGCTTTCTTTGGATGTCCATTAGCATGGTAAATGGTTTTCCACCCCCTCACTTTAAATCAGGAGGTGTCTTTGGGTCTAAACTGAGTCTCTTGCAGACAGCATATTGATGGGTCTTGCTTTTTTATCCAATCTGATACCCTGTGTCTGTTGATTGGGGCATTTGGCCCATTTACATTCAGGGTAACTATTGAAAGACAGGAATTTAGTGCCATTGTATTGCCTGTAAGGTGACTGTTACTGTATATTGTCTGTGTTCCTTTCTGGTCTATGTTACTTTTGGGCTCTCTCTTTGCTTAGAGGACCCTTTTCAATATTTCTTGTAGGGCTGGTTTGGTGATCACAAATTTTTTTAGTTTCTGTTTGTCCTGGAAGCTTTTTATATGATCTCACTGATGTGTGGAATTTAAGAAACAAGGCAGAGGATCATAGGGGAAGAGAGGAAAAAATGAAACAAGATGAAACCAGGAGAGGGAGACAAACCGTAAGAGACTCATAATCTCAGGAAACAAACTGAGTGTTGCTAGAGGGGGTGGATGGGGAGGCTGGATGATGAACATTGGGGAGGGTAAGTGTTGTGGTGAGTGCTTTGTGTTGTGTAAGACTGATGAATCACAGACCTATACCCCTGAAACAAATAATATGTTAATAGAAAAAAAAAGTTTATATTCTTAAAAAAAAAATGTACAGAATGATAGGAAAAAAATAAATAAATAAACTGGAATGGTGACATACCTAAGTGGCAAGGGCTAGGGTTTTTATCCCCTTTATGCTTATCTCCATATTTCTAGTTATTGAATACATTTGTGTAAGCAGGAAAATGAAAATACTAAACAAATCCTACTATGACACCTGGACTGCAATGGTATTTTATTTTTAATTTTATTGTTATGTTAATCACCATACATCATTAGTTTTTGATGTAGTATTCCATGATTCATTGTTTGCATATTAACACCCAGTGCTCCATTCAGTACGTGCCCTCTTTAATACCCATCACCAGACTAACCTCTCCCCCCACCCCCCTCCCCTCTAGAACCCTCAGTTTGTTTCTCAGAGTCCATAGTCTCTCATGGTTTGTCTTCCCCTCTGATTCCCCCCCTTCATTTTTCCCTTCCTACTATTTTTTTTTTTTTAACATATAATGTATTATTTGTTTCGGAGGTACAGGTCTGTGATTCATCAGTCCTACACAATTCACAGCGCTCACCATAGCACATACCCTCCCCAATGTCTATCACCAGCCACTCCATCCCTCCCACCCCCCACCACTCCAGCAACCCTCAGTTTGTTTCCTGAGATTAAGAATTCTTCATATCAGTGAGATCATATGATACATGTCTTTCTCTGATTGACTTATTTTGCTCAGCATAATACCCTCTAGTTCCAGCCACATCATTGCAAATGTCAAGATTTCAGGGGGGTTTGATGGCTGCATAATATTCCATTGTATATATATACACCACACCTTCTTTATCCATTTATCTGTTGATGGACATCTTGGCTCTTTCCATAGTTTGGCTATTGTGGACATGCTGCTATAAACATTGGGGTGCACATACCCCTTTGGATCACTACATTTGTATCTTTGGGGTAAATACCCAGTAGTGCAATTGCTGGATCGTATGGTAGCTCTATTTTTAACTCTTTGAGGAACCTCCATACTGTTTTCCAGAGTGGCTGCCCCAGTTTGCAATCCCACCAACAGTGTAAGAGGGTTCCCCTTTCTCCGCATCCTTGCCAACATCTGTTGTTTCCTGACTTGTTAATTTTAGCCATTCTGACTGGTGTGAGGTGGTATCTCATTGAGGTTTTGATTTGGATTTCCCTGATGCCGAGCGATGTTGAGCACTTTTTCATGTGTCTGTTGGCCATTTGGAGGTCATCTTTAGAAAAATGTCTGTTCATGTCTTCTACCCATTTCTTAATTGGATTAGTTATTCTTTGGGTTTTGAGTTTGATAAGTTCTTTATAGATTTTGGATACTAGCCCTTTATCTGATATGTCATTTGCAGATATCTTCTCCCATTCTGTCAGTTGTCTTTTAGTTTTGTTGACTGTTTCTTTGGCTATGCAAAAAGCTTTTTATCTTGATGAAGTCCCAATAGTTCATTTTTGCCCTTGCTTCCCTTGCCTTTGGTGATGTGTCTAGGAAGAAGCTGCTGCGGCTGAGGTCAAAGAGGTTGCTGTGTTCTCCTCTAGGATTTTGATGGACTCCTGTCTCACATTGAGGTCTTTCATCCATTTGGAGTCTATTTTTGTGTGTGGTGTAAGGAAATGGTCCAGTTTCATTCTTCTGCATGTGGCTGTCCAATTTTCCCAACACCATTTGTTGAAGAGACTGTCTTTTTGCCATTGGACATTCTTTCCTGCTTTGTCAAAGATGAGTTGACCATAGAGTTGAGGGTCCATTTCTGGGCTCTCTATTCTGTTCCATTGATCTATGTGTCTGTTTTTGTGCCAGTACCATACTGTCTTGATGATGACAGCTTTGTAATAGAGCTTGGAGTCCGCAACTGTATTTTTTTTATTTTTCTTTTTTTTAAGATTTTATTTATTTATTTGAGAGAGAGAGAAAGCACATGAGAGGGGGAAGGGTCAGAGAGAGAAGCAGACTCCCTGACAAGCAGGGAGCCCAATGCGGGACTCGATCCCGGGACTCCAGGATCATGACCTGAGCCGAAGGCAGTTGCCCAACCAACGGAGCCACCCAGGCGCCCCCACAACTGTATTTTAAAAAGACAGCATAGCCAAACAGCTGGAAAGAACAAAATACCAAAATACTGGTACTTATTTCTAAGTGGCTTATGGGTATTTTCATGATGCATTTTCCAAATGTTCTCTAATGTGCATGTACTGACTTTTGAGAATAGCAAAAATAACTTTTAAGATCTAGCTAACTGGGGCGCCTGGGTGGCTCAGTTGGTTAAGCGACTGCCTTCGGCTCAGGTCATGATCCTGGAGTCCCGGGATCAAGTCCCGCATCTGGCTCCCTGCTCGGCGGGGGGTCTGCTTCTCCCTCTGGCCCTCTTCCCTCTCGTGCTCTCTGTCTCTCATTCTCTCTCTCAAATAAATAAATAAATAAAATCTTTAAAAAAAAAAAAAGCTCTAGCTACCTGGTTGCAGCTTGCAGAGAAGTCTTTAGTGGGTGGGAAGTTCTGTGGTCAATCACTAGAAACTGGGGAGCGTCAGAGGAGAGGACTGCTGCCCTCAGTCCATGCTTGGAAAGATGGAGAAGTGTGGTGCCCCCCCAAAGATGGGGGTGCCCGTGAGGGAGGCACTGACCAGCCTAAGATTCCTTCTTCTTCCTGGGTTTTGTTCCAGGTGGGATGGATTCTGCCTGGAGTCATCACTACTCTTTCTTCCTGTGTTTATTTCTCTGGTGTTCTCCCCCAGCTTTGAGTAGTACCGTTAGTGTATCCTACATTTTGTGCAAAGGAGAAATACCATTTGTCTTCACAGTCCAGTAGCCACCCCCCTCCATGGTCAACAGAAATGAAAGTCTGATCTTCTAAAGTCCCTTTTTGGACCACAGTGTGAATCTACTAGACCACAATAGGAGATGTACTTCTAATCTAGTGCTAACCTCTTGACAGATGTGTAAGAACCGGGACACCTGCTTTAAGGCAGTGCACTTTACCCTGCAAGGTGATGTTTAGCACGGATTCAAGGCCCCTCACAAACTACCTCATTGGTAAAAGGGCAAAATTCTGTTGGTTTTTACCTTCAATGCCTACCAGTCAAGACCCTAAATTGATGTTCCTGTAAGAGTGATATGCAAAACACCTACACATCCCAATCACCTATGGGGGGGCTGTGCTTATTAAAAAAATTCCTGGACATTCCTAGGCCTAATCATCTATTTTAAATATTCTTTACCCTATGCGTATCTTAGTAAATAAAAATAATTGCAGATAATGCAGGTTCTAGAAAATTAAATGTTAACATCCAAAAATCGCAATCTGCTAATTATTTACCAGCATCATCTTTTCTGCTCCATAAGCTCATTGTTATATCTCTTCAGCCAATGCCTTTCAAGGTCCAGTTCATCACTGCTGGTTTTTCAATATATATATATTTTAATAAATCGCACACACCCTCTTTGATGTTCTTGGTGTCAACAGTGGCTCCCAAAGCCTAACTTTGTTATGTAAACAAAACAAAACTATATACATGGAAAGAAACAGTAAACAAGGACCTCTATCAGCTTTATTAGCTGCAATGATATGCATTATTTGTAATTATATTATAAATTACATATACCATGTAATTATAACAAAAACTTTAGTTTTGAAAAACATTTTATTCAAGAATTACATAATTTCAAATATCTTCCAAAATACAGCTTCCTAGATTGCTACAAAAGAAAGCAAATTCAATAAGAAATTTAAATCATTAAATAGGTTTCACTAGTATATACATACAGAATGCCAAGCAATTACTATTTAGCCCTGGAATGCGTACCATGTCTTTTGTTTTTCCTTATGAAAGAGAGGCTCAATCCAGCACTGGTATAGGCTATGTACAACAGGCCAAGTTCAGTGTTCAGAAGAGTTTGACATCAGCTGCCTCAATTTACAGCTGTGGTAGTTTGTCCACAGGGGTGTCAAATTTGAAGTCTGTAGGAAACAGATCTGGGGCTCGAGGATAGATTAGCCTGTAGGACTGCCTGATTGTAACATCAGCAACACCAGCGATATCTCCAATTTCTAAAAGACAAAAATCAAAGTATTGATTATAATTTCCATCCCCTCTCCCTTCAACAACCTGCATTCCAATGTGTGAGATACGGTAGTATAAAATCCACAGTGAAAACCCCAGACATGCTGCCTTTCAAAACCTAACAGTGGAAATCCGTCCTAAAAGGTAGAAAGGAGGGCCACAGTTGGTAACAGTAATAATGGCAGTATCCCTATCACCTCAAAGGGCTGTCTCGGCCGTGTGGAGACTGCAGGACATGCGAACGGTGGTCAGGGCACAACACTAGGAGTGAGACCTACTGTAATGACCGTCGTATTTAGAACTGACTGCTTCTCCCTCACAGTAAATCTTTCTGAGGATCATGGAAGTAATGCATGAATTACATTCTTATACAGAAACTCACTTTATTATTTCCGTGTTTAAAAGTTCCTCTGCAACACCTCTAGTTAATTCTGCTCTTTTGTTAAAAGGTTCTTTTGGAATCATACGTTAAAGACTGACCTAACAGCCTCTTTTTTCTACTTAGTACATCAGACATTATACATCTGCTTAAGACAGATGTACATTCTAGCATCATGTGGATGTTTTCACTATTACAGACACATAACACTGAGCATTGAAAGTTCACGTATTTCTAGTCTATTACGGAAGCCTAGGAGTAGATCTACTTTTACCCTTCAAAGTCACTGTCACCTTTTTCCTTTTTATTAGAAGTCCAAAGGACTGCTACTTGACAATTATTTGGTCATAAATACTTAATCAAAATGGATTTTTAAAACACAGGCTTTAATGCAAACTCATTTTACCACCTTTTCACAATTCAAATCCTAAGGTTTTATGGATTTTCAGTGTGGATGCCTGCCATCCATGTGCAATGAGCTAGTCTTAAATGTCATTGTCTCATGTTGCATTACATTTACTATCTGTCTTCTAGACATGGAGACCGGTGACTCTCAACTGGCTGCCGGGAAGGCAAGAAAAGGGCCTTACAGCCCCAAAAAACCCCAAAAACTTCATGTAAAACACAAACAGCAGAGAGTACCAAGATAAACACTTCTGTGTTGATTAGAATAAACTTTACAACTAGGAATAAAGGTAAGGATACTGCTTAGCTTCAACTTCTCAATTTTACCAGAAGACTCAAAATTTCCTTAAAAAATATGAGTGGAGGCCAAAAGGAATGGATAATGGCACATTTAAATAATTAATGGTTGGCTTCTTCTTCCTAATCATTCTTCTATATAATTTATTACTTTTATTAATAGAGAAACCTGCAGCCTAAGCGGAGGTGAAAAGGCTGTTCTTTAAAAGGGTATTACAGTCAGTGCAGCTAGTCCTCTCATTGCCTCACTTTTACATTTAGAACTGCTTCTTTTTCTTTATAGATCTTTTTGAGGATCACAGAATTAATGAATAAATGCTTGTAAAGAAATTCACTTAGCGCTGCTTTCTGTTCAAAAGTTCCCCTACAGCAGTAAACTGAAAAATGGCTGTAGAAGGTTGAAACTTCTGTCAGTGTCTTCATTAAGAAACTGAATAACGTCTGAAAGGAGAAAGAGAACGGGCTTCACAGAATGTTACAACCAGACAGCAGGAATTTCTGATGAGCCCAGCTGTAGGAGGCCATGCCGGGAAGCGGGGACACAAGCGTGGCCCCCACCTCTCAAGATTTAAAAAGCTAAGTTTTGAGGGGGAAAGAAGGACTATTCAAAATAACGTTTCAGGGTGACAAAAATAACTTCTAGAAATGAAAGATGTACAAACTAAAATACTTAATTTGAATGGGAAAAGTATGTCCATACACAGTTATGCCTCCAAACATTTTTATTTATGAATCACTTAAAATACAGTATTTTGCTTCAAAGTTTTGATTTTGTTTTGATTCCAAGAAACTACTTTTTTTTTTTTTTAAGATTTATTTGAGAGAGAACTCGAGCAGAGGGAAAGAAAATCTCAAGCAGACTGCCCACCGAGGGTGGAGCCTGACACGGGGCTCGATCTCATGACCCCAAGATCATGATCTGAGTCACCCAGGTGTCCTGATGAAGAAACTCTCTCTTAAATGTGGGTTCAGATTTACCTGCTTTATACTTAAAATGGAAATACAATTACATACGACAGCCTTCATGATTTCATCACTACTCTTCCTGAGGAAGAATCCTACCTTTTTGGGTCCTCTTCTCAGCCGATGCCTGGGAAGCCATGTAAATGGCCGCTGCCGCCACAGAGATCGGGCTCCTTCCAGGAACCAAGTCCAGTTCCACAGCTTTACGGGCTATATGTGTCGCTGCCATCTGTACTTGTTTAGGGAGACAAAGGTTGGAACAAAACCTGGACATGAAGTCCCCAGTTGTAATCAAATCCACACTGGTTTCTAATGCCTTCAAAATAAGTTTGAAACATCTACCAATTTCTTTCTTAGAAATTCGTGACACGGCACATATTTCTGAAAGAAGAAAAACAATAAATCCACATAAGTCATACGGTTCATTTAAGAATACATCATTTTTGATTATAAAATACATTCTAATTGCAAAAATGCAATTATACCCTAAACAGCCTGATTAAAAAATGGGCAGAGGCTCTGAATAGACATTTCTCCAAAGACAACATACAGATGGTCAACAGGCACATGAAAAGATGCTCAACATCACTAATTATGGGAAAACGCAAATCAAAACCACAATGAGATCTCACCTCAAACTGGTCAGAATGGCTATTATCAAAAAGACAAGAAATAACAAGTGTTAGAGAGGGAAAAGGATGTGAGAAACGAAAACCCTCACGCACTGTTGGTGGGAATGTAAACTGGCGCAGCCACTATGGAAAAAAAGACGGAGGTTCCTGAAAAAACTAAGAATACAAATACTGTATGATCCAGCTATTCCACTTCTGGGTATTTATACAAAGAATACAAAGACAGGGATTCAAAAAGATTTATGCATCCCTATGTTCCCTGCAGCATTATTTACAATAGCCAAGATATGGAAACAATCTAAACGTCATCAGTGGATGGATGGATGAAGAGGTGGTATATCAATACAGCGGCTACTATTAAGCCATAAAAAAGAATGAAATCTCATCATTTGCAACAACATGCACGGACCTTGAGGGTATTATGCTGAGTGAAATAAGACAGAGAAAGACAGATACCACATGATTTTACTTGTATGTGGAATCTAAAAACCAAAACAAATGAACAAATAAAAACAAACTCATGGACACAGAGAACACACTGGTGGTTATGAGAGGGGAAAGGAGTTGGGGCATAGGCAAAATGAGTGAAGGGAGTCAACTGTACGGTGATGGATGGTAACTAGACTTTTTAGTGATTACTTTGTAGTATGTAACAGATGTCAAATTACAGTTGACCCCTGAACTCAGGGGTTAGGGGACGCCAACTCCCAGCACAAAAATCCAGGTATAACTTTTTACTCCCCCCAAATTTTTTTAACTACAAATAGCATACTGTTGACTGAAAGCCTTAGTGATAACAGTCAACATCTATTTTGTATATGTATTATACACTGTATTTTACAAGAAAGCTAGAGACAATATTAAAATCGTAAGAGAAACTACACTTATAATACTACACTATGTCAAGAAAAACTGCATGTAAGTAGATGCATGCAGTTCAAAGTCATGTTGTTCAAGGGTCAAATGTATAATACTGTGTACCCCAAACTCACATATGGCATATATGATATATATATATGTTATATGATATACTAATTACCTCAATAAAGAACAAATCGTGCCTTATAAATGAATCTTTAATCCTCTCAGTGATACTTCCCATAGAGCTAATTTAAAATTTCTCAGTTATTTTAAAAAGATATTTATTTTTAGAGAGAGAGTGTGCGTGAGCAGAGGGAGGTGCAGGGGAGATGGGGAGGGAGAGAGACTCTCAAGCAGACTCTACCTTGACCACAGAGCCTGGTGCGGGGCTTGATCGATCTCATGATCCTGAGATCATGACCTGAGCCAAAACCAAGAGTCGGATGCTTAACTGACTGAGCCATCCAGGCGCTCTGTTAATCCCTCTGTTAATTTAAGTGTTTATCACACTTTAAAGAAGTCTTTTAAACAAGTTAAATGTAGGTTCTTATTATTTCAATATTAATTTCTCTTAAGTTTCAATTCACACAAGTAAGTTACTCAAAGCTAAGAATACTTCCCAAGCATACGCACGTGCAATCCCTGGGATTATGGGCTATAACAAAATGAGATCAAATATTTGACCCTGTTATTCTAAAAATTAAACTACCAAACACTTTCAGGACAAATTTAACAAAAGTCTTAGTTTTAGCTGTAATAACCAAAAAGATGATGAGGATAAAAGCCACGGCCGCGCCATAAAATATTCACTGACGAACGAAAGGTAATGGAAGTCTTAAGCTGGAGTGAACCCGGCAGTGGAAGAGTAAAGACCACAGCAGCAGTGTGAACAGCTATCACCTATTTATCGTGACTGCAAACTGGATGGAAAATACTAGTTCTCTCAAAGCCTCCAACTCGAGTGTGAAAGTGCAAACTGTGTAACAAGAGACAAATGTCGCTGATGTTTTCTAAGGCTTGACTCCTTCACCTGCAGAGAGCTGTGCTAGAAGCAGAAATGGTTTTCCACGCATGAAGTGTACACACTTAACTAGTAAGGAAGGCGTCCTCTGGCTTATGATGCCAGGCCTCAAAGTCCCCAAAAACAGAGTCAGTTCAAAAGATCTCATGAGCAAAGAACATGGAGCTTACATGGGCTAAAGTGACATCACCTGGGAAAATAGCCTGAAAAGAACATGGTTAAGATCACAGAATGAATTTTTGTCAAGGAACAAAATAAAGAGGCATTTGGAAATGATACTAAGATGTGGTTACAACATGTAACCAGGAAAACATGACAGCTGCGTAGTGTCAAAGCGGCCTGACTTTGGTCTGCAACTGAACACTTACCTTTGAATGTCCTGGGAACCCCTTCTTGTCTACAGGCGATATAGAGACAAGCGGAAGCTATGGCATCATTAGCTCTGCCCTTCAGGCTCTTCTGTTCATACACTTGCTTGAATAAATTATTTGTTCGATCCTTCAAAGCAAAGAAACGAAGTTTAATTAACTTTAGGCCATTTAATTAGTTGCAATATCAAAATTTCATGTGTTCATTAAATTATGCTAAGTCAATGCCAGAATGGCTTAAAGGAGACAGACAAGAACTTACAACTATATTTCGAGGGAGGTTGATTCTGTCTGCCATAGTAGTGATTTCTTTGAAAGCATTCATCATTGCTCGATCAGAACTACTCATTGTTCTCCGATTTTGGTACTTAGAATTGCCAAATTCGTCAAAACTTGCAGCTCCTGTACCCTATAAAACAAAGTTTTACAACTTTATGCAAAAATTTTTTTTAAATCTGAATGAACAGACATTTCTAAAAAAACATAACTTACACGATCTGACTCCATAAGCCCAAGAAATCTACCCTGTGCCGCCTCATTCCTCAGTAGAACAAGTACCAGGTTGAGATTGTTTAAATGAATATCTGTGAGAGAACCCAATAATATAAACCATCACATTAATAGACCTAAGGAGAAAAATCAAAGGATCATCTCCAAAGGTGCTTTTATAAAGGCAAGCAAACAAAACTCAAAAGCCATTTTTTGATAAAAACTCACAAAACACCACAAATGGGTACTTCAAGTTAGAAAATCATTCTCCCAGGCCCAAAGCCAGCACAATGATTCATGAAGAAAAAAGGCATACCCTGTTTTATTGTGCTTCACTTTACTGCACTTTGCAGAGACTGTATTTTTGTACTGTTGTTAACAAATTGAAGGTTTACGGCAACCCTACGTTAAGCAAGTCTACTGGTGCCATTCTTCCAACAGCATTTGCTCACTTCAGGTCTCTGTCACATGTTAGTAATTCTTGCAACATTTCAAACTTATTATATTTCTGATGGTGATCTGTGAGCAGGGATCTTTGATGTTACTGTTATAATTGTTTTGCGGCTCCACGAAGTGCATACTTAGAAGACGGCAAGCTTAATAAACTGTGCTCTCTGACTGCTCCCCTGAGCTGCTGTTCCCCCATCTCTCTCCCTCTCCTCGGGCCTATTTCCTGAGACTCAACAATATTGAAATTAGGCCAATTAATAACCCTGTAAGGGCTTCTCTCTGTTGGAGTCAAAGGAATAGTCACTTGCTTCTCACTTTAAATCAAAAGCTAGAAATGATTAACCTTAGTAAAGGAAGGCATGTCAGAAGCTGAGACAGGCTGAAAGCTAGGCCTCTTGTGCCAAACACAGCCACGCTGTGAATGCCAAGGAGAAGTTCTTGAAGGAAATTAAAGTGCTACTCCAGTGAACACGCAAATGATAAGAAGGTGAAACAGCCTTCTTGCTGATATGGAGAAAGTGTTAGTGGCCTGGATGGAAGATCAAACCAGCCACCACATTCCCTTAAGCCAGAGCAAGGCCCTAACTCTCTTCAATTCTGTGAAGGCTCAGAGACATGAGGAAGCCCGAGGAGAGGAGCTGAAAGCTAGCAAAGGTTGGTTCCTGAGGTTGAAGGAAAGAAGCTCTCTATAACATAAAGCACAAGGTGAGGCAGGAAGTGCTGACACAGAAGCTGCACCAAGTTCTCCAGAAGACCCAGCTACGAGAATTCATGAAGGTGGTACACTCAACAACAGATTTGCAATGTAGATGCAACAGCCTTCTTTTGGAAGAACATGCCATCTAGGACTTCCTGAGCTAGAGAGGAGAGAGAGGTCAATGCCTGGCTTCAAAGCTTCAACAGCCTGTGTCTGTTGTTAGGGGCTAATGCAGCTGGTGACTTGAAGTTGAAGCCAATGTTCATGTACCATTCTGAAAATCCTAGGGCCCCTAAGAATCGTGCTATCTATTTTGCCTGTGCTTTAGAAATGAAACAACAAAGCCTGGATGACAGCACATCTACTTATAACATGGCTTACTAAGTATTTTAAGTCCACTGCTGAGAACTACTGCTCAGAAAAAAAGATTGCTTTCAAAATATGACTGCTCATTGACAATGCATCTGGTCATCCAGGAGCTCTGAGATGGAGCTGAACAATGGGATTACTGTTGTTCTCATGCCTGCTAACACAATATCCAATCCATCCTGCAGCCCATGGATCAAAGAGTCATTTCAACTTTCAAGTCTTATTTAGGAAACACATTTCATAAGGCTACAGGTGCCATAGACAATGTTTCCTCTGATGGCCCTGGGCAGACTACACTGAAGAACTGGAAAGAATTCACCATTCTAGATGCTGATTCATAAGAAGAGGTCATAGTATCAACATGAACAGGAGTCTGGAAGTTGATTGCAGCCCTCATGGGTGACTTGGAGGGCTCGGGACTCCAGTGGAGGCAGGAACTGCAGAGGCGGTAGAAAGAGCGAGAGGACTAGAAGCAGCAGGGGAGCCTGAACATGTGACTGGACGGCTGCGATCTCATGATCGAACTCTCACGTCTGAGGAGCTGCTTCTCATGGATGAGCAAAGACAGTGGTGTCCTGAGCTCAAATCTACTGCTGGTGAAGATGCTGTGAAGATGGTTGAAATGACAACAAAGGATTTGGAATATTAACTAAACTTAGTTGATAAAGCAGCGGCAGGGTTTGAGAGGACCGACTCCAGTACTGAGAGAAGTTCTGCTGTGGGTAAAACGCTATGGAACACAGGCTACAGAGAAATTGCATGTGAAAAGAAGAGGCAATCGATGGGGCAAACTTCATTATTTTAAGAAACTGCCAGAGCCACCTACCATTCAGCAACCATCACATCGAAGCAAGACCCGCCACCAGCAAAAAGATCATAATTCACTGAAAGCTCAGATGATGGTTAGCATTTTTTAGCAATAAAGTATTTTTAAATTAAGGTATATGCATTTTTTTAAACATAATGCTACTGCACACTTAATAGTGTAAATAAGACTTTTCTATGTACTGGGAAACTAAAAAAAGGCATTTAACTCCCTCTATTGTGATATTTGGAACCAAACCCGCAGTATCTCTGAGGTACGCCTGTATTAGGAAAACTGACCAATATAATGTAATTATAATTACATAATGTACCTAGATAACAATTATATTAACTATACTGTTGTAATTATTTTAAAATTAGGCAGAAGAGCAAGCAGCGGGGGCGGGGGGGGGACCTGGCTGGTGCAGTCAGTAGAGCATGTAGCTCTTGACCTTGGGGTTGTGAGTTCAAGCCCCACGTGTGGCGTGGAGTTTACTTAAAATAAAAAAACATCAAAAAATAAAAATAAAATAAGGCAAGAGAAAAATCAGAAGTACTAATTTGGGAAGGAAGCGATAAACTATTTGCAGATAGTATTTTTGAACACCTAAAATACTCAAAATCACTGTAAAACTGCTATAAATCATAGAATCCATTAGAGGCAAGGTCAAAATTAAACAGAAATCAATAGCCTTCATATGTATAGCCAGTTATAAGGCAATGAAAGAAAAATACTCCAATTGCAAAACAACAAAAAAGGTAAGTATCTAGGAATCAACTTAAACATACAAGACTTTTATGAAGAAAACCTCTCTAGAAGGACACATACGACTTAAGGAAATGGAAATGCATACTATGTTTTTGGACAGAAGATTTATCAGGAAGAAGTCGATCTTCCCTAAGTCAATTTGCAAATCTATCTAACCAAAACCTCACTGAAAATAATTTTTTTTTTTTTTTAAAAAAGCGATCCATCCTAACCTTTAAATGGAAAAGACAAGTGAAGAAAATGCTGAGAAAGCAGAGCAGAACTAAAGAAGAACTAAAGCTACTAGATACTAACAGTATGGTATGACATCTGACGGCCGGAGCCAGGACAGAGAAAGGATAGAAAGTCCGGAAATATTCCCAAATACATACAGAAATCTAGTATATGACAAATGTAGCATCTTAAAAAACTCTCTTTTGCCATGTAAGATAAACAACTGTCAAAGGATACAGGAGAAAACTAGCGATAGTGTTACTGGTTTCTGACAGGGAAAGGGGGTTGCAGTGGGAACTGAATTTGGGGGTCAAGGGTAAAGAAAATTGTTCTTTTTACATTTGTGTTTGAGTCATGTATTTCCTTTTGAAAAAATTAAACATTAGAAAAAGTCACAGTGTCAATTTGTGGCAATCTGAGATTTTAAAATGTCCTCAGTATACTTTTTTTCCCCAGCCTGTAAAGCTAAAGTAAATGTAGAAATCACCCAAAGATATTTCTGAATACTATCAACTTTAACCTAGCCTACACTGTTTTTCAAATTTTATACGTACTTTATAGAGCATGAAAAAATAATTAATGACCTGCTTTTTCATAATATTTTCTTGAAAATAGACTGCAGTAGTATAGATTAAGTCCTGAAATCGCATCCCTCGCTTAGTTCTTTGGAATATTGCCACCACTCCTTCCAATTCAGATAAAAGAGCAAAAAACAGCCAGGTTGCCAGACAAATTATACTGCTGCCTTATCTAACAGCAGTAGCTACCATTTACTGAACACACACTACACGTGTGCTGTAAATACTTTATCTACATTCCCATGTAACCCTCAAAATTTCTATGAAGTACTCTTACTCTCACTGATGACGAACATGAAGCTTACATACGTCACTTACGTAAGTCGTAAATCCACCAGTATTAGAAAACAGGCTATACTGAGCTACAATTTATCTTAGGTAATGTGGGGGGGGGGGGAGAGAAAAGACATTCATAGTATTCAAGGAACATATCAATATGAACTCATAAAGAATTTTTATGCAAAATGGGATTCATGGAAACAAGGGCCTGAGACATAGACTCTGTAATCACGACCTGTTGCTCTCCCCTTTAAGGTGGAAGAAATATGTAAGGGAAAAATCATTCACAATAGTATTACTGGTAAATCTTATTCTCAGGTCAAAATTCCTCATGGGGGCAGTGATGGATACTTTTGCAAAGTTCCCCAACTCCCATGTCCTTGGTCAGTCCACACTTTATGTTTCCTGCTGAGGGGATCTATTACCTTGCCAATCATGGTAGACAAATCTCCATCACTCAGAAGAGGATTCTGAGAGTCTCCAACTCGGGATGGATCTTTTGTTGCTTTATCATTGCTGAAAGTTCTCCATTCAGACCCCACATCGATAACCCGGTCACCTAAGAATATAAACACAAATCTAAATGATCTTGTCAAGGCAGGATTTACTGAACACTGTGTAATACCCAACGCAGCCCTTATTCCTAGGAAATCTCAACATGGACGTCTAGGCTCCAGCGTAAGTATCATGTCTCAGACATGTGGCCTGAAGCATTCCTTTAACAACTGTGCCAGTCCAATAATAACCCTCTTTATTTTTAAAAATTTATTTTTTTGAGAGAGTGAGAGAGAGAGATCAAGAACGGGGGGGGGGGGTAGAGGGAGAAGCAGACTCCCACCCACTGAGCAGGAAGCTTGATGTGGGGCTCGATCCCAGGACCCTGGGATCATGACCTGAGCCGAAGGCAGACGCTTAACCGACTGAGCTGCCCAGGCGCCCCCAATAATAACCCTCTTTGAACATTATGCTATGATTAGTCATATTCTAACTCTTGGAAGAAAAAGAATTAGTCAAAATAAAGACAAATGGCAAAATAAAGCTATTCATATGTGATGCAAACATAAAATAATATGATTCAGAACCAAAATTTGCAAGAGGCACAGAAAAAAAAAAAAAAAACAGAAAACACTGCTCACAATGGTATTAATGCACACAGTTTCATATAAAAAGTTATTTTCATGGGAAATGCTTTGCAGAGAACTAGGCCTAAACTTATGTTTTAGTAACTATTGGACAAAAAAATATTTTTGGCCAAATAATTTATACAGAGAATAAAATGTTAAGCCTAGAGCCAGTGAGAACAAAGCCAGGCAGGGAAACTTTTCTTTTTAAGCAAAGAGCCAGTGGCAAAATAGGTCCTGCCAAAAACAGCTATGAACAGATCTGGTTGTTTACTGCTTTGGAGGGGGTGCTCAGTGGCTAGTAACGTCTCCACAGTGACAAGGGTCACCCCTGAACACCTGCATACGCTGCCACTGTGTGAATGTTCTCTTTTAATCCTCAGAGCCTCGTAAAGGTAGGTACCACTTTTACTGCCACTTTGGAAATAAAATTAATTGGCTAAGATCACCCAACTAGAACTGAAATGTGCCTCAGATCCCAAAACCTGCTGTTCCCTACTGCATCTGTAAAGCCTCAGCTCTTCCACCAAAGTGTGATAAAACTGAAAGCAGGAACCAGCCCATTTGCATTGCTGCCTGAACAGAAAGGAGAAAGAAACGGAAGAAATCCGTTACCTCAGCAATTAAAAGATGTTCTGGTACTGACAGTCATGAACATAATGGTTATGAGCACGGGCTCTACCACTGGCCACTTAGCCTTGGACGAATTATGTCATTTCTCAACTTTCAATTTCCCCAACAACCGTAGAATTTAAAGACTATAAAGATTAAATAAATGAATACAGGTACATTGCAGGTCAAGTGATTAAAAAGTTCAAAATGAGTGCTTGATATTAGCTATTGGCTGCTATGAAAATGAAAATAAGAGGACAGATATTCTGACATTTCGCTCCTTTTGGTGAGGGGAATAAGGAGAGGCACTAGTTATAAAACATTTGTCTCCACATTAGACTTTGAAAGTAGCAGAGTACTCTGCTACAGGTATTTGATCAGAGGGGCAGCAAAGAGAAAAGGAAGGAAGGAAATTATGTAGACTCTGCTAAGTCTTCTGAACTATTTTCTATGTAGTTAATTAAAATGCTTATACTCCAAATATAATAATCATAATATAATCCTAGTGTTATATTTAAGAAAGCAGGTAAATGTGCAATGGGATCATTCAATCCTGATGGTTTTGGAATACTTTATTTTTCTTTGAACACTCCAATCACTTGGGAGTAACCAGACATCACTTGGATTATCAAGTGTTCCTGTCACAAGGGAACTGAGATGAGAGGTAGGGTCCCCACGTGCCATACCTATATGTAGTAAGAATGGCCAAGGAAGGCAGAAGCAGGGAGAACAGTTTATAACGCAACTTCAGTAGATGAGAGGTTGAGCAGGTGGCCCAAAATAAGGACAGAAAGGTTAAATGGATAGCACCATCATGATGGATTACTCTGCTTCCTCCTCATAAAAACAAACATCACTAAACTTGGGAAGCAGTTCTAAGATTTTTAAAACTTACCTGAAAGTAACAAAACCTGTAATTATAGACTGAAGTCTTATTGCAATATTAACTAAACAAGGCTCTTGTCTCAAGGAGACTAAAGAGACCGATTTTTCTTCCTTTTTATAAAAATACTAATGCTTGCCTACCAATATATATATTAATATAAATATATAAGCAAAAAATAAAAAATTACCTGTATTCTCAACACCAGAGAAAACCACTGTAAATATTTTGGTATATATATTTTCTGCCTTTTTTTTTTTTTAGATTTTATTTATTTATTTGAGAGAGAGAGCACAAGAGGGGGTAGGGTCAGAGGGAGAAGCAGACTCCCTGCAAAGCAGGGAGCCTGATGCGGGACTCGATCCTGGGACTCCGGGATCATGACCTGAGCTGAAGGCAGTTGGTTAACCAACTGAGCCACCCAGGTGCCCTATTTTCTGCCTTTTTAATTCATGTGTAGGTTTTTTCCTAAAATTAAATCATATTGTGCCCATTCCATGAAAAGCTCCATTCACCATATCTGTATCATCAACAACAAAACAAGATTTTTAAACAGTTTGGCCCCTTTAATAGCATCCACCAATTAAAGTGATACTCTGATGTCTCCATATACTATGTTTTCTTTTTTTTTTAAGATTATTTATTTGAGAAAGTGAAAAGAGCGAGAGAGAGCAAGTGGGGGGTTGCTGTAGAGGGAGAGGAAGAAGCAGACTCCCCACTGAGCAGGGAGCCCAGGACCCTGGGATCATGACCTGAGCTGAAGGCAGACGCTTAACTGAATGAGCCACCCAGGAACCTGTTTTCATTTTTTTAAAAAAAACATTTTATTTATTTATTTTAAAGAGAGAGAAGGCGCATACGAGTTGGGAGAGAGGTCGGGGGAGAAGAGAAGGGGCAGAGTGGGAGGGAGAGAGAGAATCTCAGACAGACTCCCTGCCGAGCTGGAGCCAGATGCAGTGGATCCCACAATCCTGAGATCATGATGTGAGTTGAAATCAAGAGTCAGATGCTTAACTGACTGAGCCACCCAGGTGCCCCATGCACTATGTTTTCAAAGGGAAAAATGTGAATCTAACTTTCCTAGTCAGAGAACATGCGCAAAACAAAAAACTATGGCCTTCATATTTGGAGTTACTTGCTAAATTCTAAGTTCAAAAAAAAAAAATCAAATGTCATCATTAATTTGTAATATTTTAAAGAAGGTATTAAGAGAACAGCATAAATGAAAAGGTAGGGAGGTACGCTCACAACTTTTAAGTCTCTCTAGAAATCTAAAGATGAAGCATCTTGCTTGACTTTATTTCATAGCATTTTCCTTTTGGCCCCCAAAATAACCTACCATGAGTTTCTTTTATTGGTTGCTTTGTAATGCCTTTAAAAAGAAAGACGGATTAGGGGAAAAAGGGGGCTAGGGGGAAGCTGGCCTAGGATAGTATAAATAGAAAAGCCAGAACTTGGTAGTGATGTAATTTTCCACATACGTGGGAACAATCTACATGACTCATTCAATAATCTGTGATTTGTGCTAAGAGCCATTCCCTCTTTTTACATTTTACTGCTCAAAACATAGCATTTATAAGAAATAAAATTTCCAAAATAACTCAAATAGCATATCATGAAACTATAACTGGACCATCAGATGAAGTGCATGAGTAACAACAGGGCAGACCATTCAGAAAAATAGAGTGCATAAAGGATTTTCATCTGAAGAAAACCTAAATGAGGCAGCATTTTAAAAGTTGCTCTGGAAGAAAACTGCAATACATAATCTTTTCAAGAGTAACTGCACAAGGCAGCCATAATGTTTAGGTATAATCAACCTCTGGCAAAGCAGCAGCCTGCCGATAAACACATGCACACAAACACGCACACACATACAAAACCTCCCATATCCTTTCATGTTCTAGAAACAGGAGCAGACCAACTTTTACCAGTTCGTTCTTAACCAAACACTGATTTTTGTAAAATGAACACCAGATAGAAAGTCTATACAGGAAAATTTATAATAGCCAAAAATAATACCACTACCATAATATACAGAACACTGTTCCTCCATCTAGAATGTGACTGCTACCACTTCGATCAGGTTCCTCAGCCAAAAAAGTAAACGCCCTCAATATGTATATTCTATATTCCACACATGTACAGTTCTCAATCCATATATTAGAGCGGTGTCTAAAGAGAATGAACTGGGGCGCCTGGGTGGCTCAGTCGTTAAGCATCTGCCTTCGGCTCAGGTCATGATCCCAGGATCCTGGGATCGAGCCCCACAGCAGGGAGCCTGCTTCTCCTTCTCCCTCTGTCTACCACTCTGCCTACTTGTGCTCTCTGTCAAATAAATAAATAAAATCTTAAAAAAAAAAAAAAAAAAAGAATGAACTAAGATTTTTACCATATTCTAAACAGAGTAAGTTTCATCTCTTTATTTTTCAAGGACAACTTGAGAGTAACTGCCAAAACCAATCACACCAACTACTTTGGCACCTACCTCATGATTTGGCATTTCCACTCTTAAATATTTACCTACAAAAGTCTCCTACAACAATGTTCATAGCAGCATTACTCACGTTACTAAAACCTGGGAACAACCCAATGTCCATTAATAGGAAAATGTATACAATGGGATATCCCTCAGCAAACAAACTAATGACACATGCAGTAATGTAAATGCATTCTAAAACACTATTCTGAGCCCCCAGAATGTCAGTGACTAAAAAACCATACTATATGATTCTGATTATAGGAAGTTCAAAAACAGGCAAAATAATCTATGAAGACAGAAATCACTACAGTGGTTGCTGCTGGGTTGGGGGACAGAGGTGACGGACTAGAAAGAAACATAAGGGAACTTCTGAGAATGGAAGGAAATGGTCTAAACATCTTGATCAGTGTTGATTACACCAGTATATGCAGTGTCAGGATGCAAACTGTACATCTGGGATC